CAAAATATTTAATCTGTACCCAATATTGGAGAACTTCAGACAAATTTTTCACGCTTATTCCTCTACTTCTCCTCCTTTTCCTCTTCTTCTTCCTTGTATACCAACTTTCAGCAATTGTCTTCCAGTTTCATGTTATGCGTTGGTTTTTTCTTTTTTCTTTCTTTTTTATTCCTTTTTGGGGCAGATCTGCTTCTCTCGATTATGTCTTCCTTCTTTCTCTTTTTTTTTTCCCTTTTTGCACAGATCAATGTAAAGCTATTTTTTGACCTTTTAATTAGTGCAGAAATTATGGTTGTTTGTTGCATTTTTTATGAGAATCTCTAGATTATCAAAATTTAATATCTGTTTGAGGACAAATAGTAAATTCATCCACTAGAAAAATGAAAGGCATATGAATTGCAAATTTAGATTTGTTGATTCAAAATCATTTGATTGAAACCTTGGACTTGCATTCCTTCTGAAGCTCAAATTGATTTTGTCTGAAGTTTGCATTAACTTTAGACTAATTTGTCTGAAGTTTGTACTATGAACTGAAGTTTGCCTGATTGTCTTTACAAACCAAGCTAAACTCAGGCGAAAATATCTAAATTTTTGCTTTGATAAGGCCGCATTTCATGCAAAAAATTCTGAAGTTCAAACTTCAGACATAAATTTTTCTTACTTCAAAACAAGTTATCCAAAAAGTGGATAGACTTGCAATTTTTTGCGCAAAGTGGTATAAGTTCAATGATGACTCATAAATTGGGTATAAATGCAAATGCCCCAAACAATATATTAAAAGTATTTTTTTTGTTTGATATGTTATATATGACCATAACAAAAGAGAAAAAGTCGTATTTGACAATTAAACAATTTATAAAAAAAAAAACATATTAATTAAAGTTTGATAGAGTTGACAGGTTGGACTATGATCCAATTTAAATCGAGAAAACTACCTTATATGGCCGTTGAAACAAAGTATTAGCCCAAAGTTTTACACGTAACCTGAAATGTCCAGTCGGATAAAACTAATATCAAATGTTAGTCCATCGGATAAAACCAACAGATAAAAGACAAAAGTAAATTTTGGTACTAATTTTTTTATCTTCCCTAGATATTTTTCCTTCCCAACACCAAATTATTTTCTCTTTCTTACTTTTTTATCTTCCCTTGATATTTTTCCTTCCCAACACCAAATTATTTTCTCTTTCTTACACATCACACTTGACTTTTTACTCTTTCTATATCTTTTTACTTTTTTTCTTCAATTCCTTTAATTCTAACACCTTTTTTTTTTCTCTCTCTTACTTTTACTTTTTTTAATACTATTTAATATTTGATTTAATGATAGGTGAAGTGCAGTATATGTGTATAAAGTGTATGTGTGCATATATATGTATGTATAAAGTTGTACATACATGATAATTTTAATGAATTATAGTTTTGTAGAATTATATATAATTATTTTGCAATGTATAAATATTGTATCCTAAGTTCGACAGTGTATCCTTAGCGTATATTGAGCCTATCTCGAGTGTGCCTGTCTATCTAAAGTGTATATATTTGTGTACCCAAGTATATTTTGTATCGTGAATGTATAATCTGTCTGAACAATGTATCAAAATTGTATATACATGTGTATTTTCTAATATGTAAACATAGTGTATATAAATTATATACACATTTTGTATGTGTAATGTGTGCACACCGCGTATTTAGAGTGTATCATGTATTTTTGTATATATTTTATATAGTAACAGTCTATTTTGTATATTTTTTGTATAATGATAGTCTATTTTATATATATTTTGTATAGTGACATCTATTTTGTATATTTTTTGTATAGTGACAGTCTATTTTGTATATTTTTTGTATAATGACAGTCTATTTTATATATTTTTTGTATAGTGACAGTCTATTTGTATATTATTTATATAATGACAGTCTCTGTCTGTCACACGTGCCACCTATATAAAAGCCACACCAGTTGTGCTTTTTTAGAGGAAAAACTAGTGAGTGCCTCGTTGATCTCTATGTAGCCCATGCTCACCACTTCTCTTTTGAACTTTCTTGAGAATAACACCAAACAGTATACACACAAAATAACATAAAAACTTAAAGAGAGACAAACAATTCAATCTCTTTCTCTTTTTCTTCTTTAAGCTTATCAGCTACCTGTACCCATATCCAAGAACATCAATGGGCAAGGTTTGCTTTGCTCTTTACCCCATTTCGTCTTTTTTTTTTTTTGGGTTTTTTGTTTGGATTTTCTGATTTTTTTTTGGGTTATAGGAAGAGAAGAAGAAACCAGAAGAAGTGACACAATTTATATAGTGACGGTGGTTAGCAATCTTCAAATTGAAACAAGAAATTAAGCCCTCTGTGGTTGGTGCTAAAAGGTCTGTTCTGTATTAGGTATTTGCTAGCACATTGCAATTGGAGATTGAACATCGTTTGGTCTTGATTTAGCAGTGATTTTGGAGTTCCTAAGTTGTGCCAACGCTCCTGGCTTTATGTATGTATAATATGACGGCATTGAAGATCTCAAATTCCTGCTTCTTATCTTAGAGTTTCATTTTATATTTTGGAACTTGGGTTGGAATTGGAGAAGAGCGGTTTTTGGATGAAGGACGACACTGTGCTTCCGTGATAGTTGGATCGGTGGCTAGCCTTTTAATTAGTTTTGTCTATAAAATGTATACTGCAATTTTGTGGCCAGCGACTGATATTAGTTTCTAGCGGCTGGCCATAAATCTTAACCCAACTCATCTCGGTCCAAATAAACCTATTTATTGACTCAAAGAAGATCTGTCACCCGTCCTTTTGACGCCCGTCAGCTGAAATAAGGGAGTTAAGTAATCAAGTGAATATGGAGTACAATATTAGAATTCTATTTATTGTTAAGTTTTGTAGCTTAGCCTACTGCCTATCCACTTTTGAGTGTAGATTCAAGCACGTTACCTGTAATATTAACTGGAGAAAACACACAAGGAAACTAAAATGAATTTGCCGTGGAAATACGCGCAGTAAAGTACCTATTACATCAGTTTGGTCCCCGCCTCCGCAATTCTGACCGGATCGTTAAAGAATCTTCAGATTCCCCATTAAATATACCCTCACTCCCTCTTTATGGCTTCAACTTGCGAGGGTCATTACCGAGGAGTCAGAAAGCTTCCATGGCTTGAAGGTTGGCCAGCTGGAGTTAGGCAGTGAGCTAGCCTTGCCGGCTTCCGGCGGAGGAGAATAGTATTTTGGGCTTGTGAGACCTAAGTTGCTCATTGACTTGAATGTGCCGCCGCCGTTGTGGATGTACTGAAGCAATTACAGTTTCTTCTACGACGTCGTTGAGGTTCTGCAATCTCCTTCTTCTTCTTCACATCCTGTCCATTTTCAAGCTTGAAATGTAGTCTATTCTCGGGTTGATCAATTCACCCGTTAATAAACCCAAGCTGACCCGTTATAATATGAATGTGGGTTAAAAATTAAATTAGAATTGACTTTGACAAATTTGGACGTTATTTAGATAAAAGTGGGTACCAAAATGTATCTATTGGATATAATGATAAAAAGACATTGAGAATTATACAGGGTGAAAGTTTCTCCTTTGAAAAAGAGCACACAATTTAAAAACAACCCAACATATAAAGTAGTATTGCTAATTTTGAATAGAAATAGCCACAACGTCCTTAATCATGAAATTGAATGAGTGCCCCCCTATGGAGTCTTGAGACATGGATGCCAATAACCAAATTCCAGTCAAATTACTAATAAATCTTTTTTTGGCAATATTGTATCACCTCCATTATTTTCCACATATAGCAAGATTACAATGAAATAGACAAAATAATTTTATTCAAATTATTAAAAACTCCATATTTTTCTTTATATTCAGAAGCAGAAGTTGAAAAGGTAAACCTGCAAATACAGAAGAAAATTTTCCCGGTTCATGGTGGACTACATTGAATACATTGATAAAGTATACACTTTAGTAGCTACCGTTTCGCTCTAAAATTGCAGTCATGGTAAAATCTTGGTTTATTTCAGTAGGTATAGCTTCGAAATAGAACCAAATGACAGCACTGTTTAGAACCATGATCCCTTATAATAAGTACTAGTAGTCCGTTCCATCACAATATATCCATCCTCAGGAAACATGATGAAAAAGATACACGTATAGCTGTACTTTTACTTAATTATACTTGAAGAGCCTAAACAATAGATTGGCTCTCTTCTTAATTAACTGCTAGAAGTATTCAATCTATTTCTCTACCTTCTTTTCCCAGACACTGAAAGAGGCAATTCTGGCCTTGCTCTTCTTATTTTGCTCTTGCTGTTCAACTCGTTGACCTACTTAAACATTAGTTTGAATTGGTGGAGACAAATGTTGTCCCGGATTATACATGAATAAGAAGTTTTTCCTTTCACCTATAGTCCGTTGAGTGTATAAATGAGAGAAGAGTTTTACTTTGAAAGTCACCTTTTAGAAGACAAATGCGTAAGTTAAGTCAATGACAAAAACCAATGGAGGAATGGTCTACCGCACAAGGTTAAGTACTGTGTTTAAGTGTAGACTAGTAAAAATAAGAACCAACAAACTCTTTATAGTCTACACTTTGTCTCCTTTGTTATCAGCCTTTTCTTCCTGTTCGAGAACGATGTGAAAATGAAAGCCAACAAACTCTCTAATTGATCCTTCATTTCGTATAAATTTTAACCAATGAGCACAAAGGACAAAGATGTCGCTACCATGGCTTCCATCCCATTTTAAGTACAAGAAAAAAGCTTCACGAAATTCTCAACGTTTTACATACTCTATAAAATAGTGAAGAAGGGTTCTCGTTGAGTTATCACTCACCATTTCTTGTTTCTTGCATGGCAAGGAAGAAAATGAAAGTCTCTATTTTATTAAGTCTTTCTCTAATTTTGTGCTACCTAAGTGCCCAACAATGTTACGCAGGATGATGCTGATGTTCTACGCGAATTTCTCCAGGCTCGACGGGGAAAAACAAGAAGTATTATAAAACCACGGCCTAGCGGCTGCTGAGAAACAGAGATCAGTGTCAGAACTCATAGTGCCACAGGTAGGATCAAAGGAAGATGACAAGATCTCAGCATTGCCCGGGCAACCAAGTGGGGTGAGTTTTGATCAATATTCAGGATACATTACTGTTGATGCTGATAGAGCCTTGTTCTATTATTTGGCAGAATCGTCTGGTGACCCTTCTACAAAACCTCTCGTTTTGTGGCTAAATGGAGGTAAGCACACACCAAACCCAAGTTAACCAAATTGCCAAGAGGAAGAATGTTTTCTAACACTAGCTAGTTTCATGCAAAACTATTAAGCGTATCCTGTTTCCTTCGGTTTTTTTTGGGTATGTACTTGATATGTAGGACCTGGTTGCTCTTCATTTGGGGCTGGAGCAATGACAGAACTTGGACCATTCCGTGTCAATAGTGATGGAAAAACCTTATGGCTCAACCAATATGCATGGAACAATGGTACTTAATTACCTCTGTCTTCAGCTAGCGAAAATTATCACTTGGGGGTAACATTAATACCTTTTTGGCATTAATGCAGTGGCAAACATCCTCTTTTTAGAATCACCTGCTGGTGTTGGATTCTCTTATTCTAATACGTCATCAGATTATGTTACTGGAGACGAAAAGACTAAACAAGATAGTTTCACCTTTCTCATTAATTGGATGGAAAAATTCCCAGAATATAAACGCCGAGAGTTCTACATTGTTGGAGAGAGTTATGCCGGCCACTATGTGCCTCAACTTGCTCAGATGATCTTATCCCACAAGAAAATAGAACCCAACCTTGTCATTAACTTACAAGGAATAGCTGTAAGCTAATTAAGCTTATTCAAATGATACTTACATTTTTTCCCCCATTAAGTCACTATATTATCTTATTTGCATATGGCAATGTTTTCAGACTGGAAATGCCCTCATCGATGATGAAACAACGAGTACTGGTTCATACGACTTTTATTGGACACATGCACTAATATCAGATGAAGTCCATGAAGGAATTGTCTTGAATTGTAACTTCTCCGCAGAGACAACCTCGGAAGCTTGTAATGAGTACATAAACCAAGCAGTTTCATGTCGAGGCAACATAGATAATTATGACATATATGCCCCACTGTGCTATCCCCAGGCCAATACTTCCCTTCCCGTAAGTTCCGGATTGGCTAACTGCTCATTCATTGTTCCTGGGAAGTTTTTTTATTCATCTTATGCTTTTGGTGGTTTGGTACAATCACTAAATACATGTGTTCTTCTACTTCATTCTTCCTATACTTATATCCACAATAAGTAAACTGTTTTAGTAGATACAACAGGTTTATAAACCTGCTTCAAATTCTAAGCTTCAGATGGTTTCATCCCCTTGTTCTCTAGCATGCACACCCATGCAACGTCATAAAACACACACGTCAAAGATCTAATAAATCAAGGGTGTATATAAACTTATCCAACATAAAAGAAGGATATAATAGATATATATTACTACAGCAAGATGATACCACACACATCATCATCCAACACCTCAAGAAGCACCCTTCTCTAGATTTTACATTCTTTTATTAGGTTTCTAACTTTTTTTCTTTTGTTCAAAACAGAGATGTAGATTTGATCCATGCTCGGATAATTATGTATACTCTTACCTAAACACTGCTGAAGTACAAAAGGCACTTAATGTCCGAGGATTACCCTATTCCTGGGCTCCTTGCAAGTAATACTTACTCTGATTTTTAAAAATATTGCTCTTCAAATCTAAAAGGTTGATAATTTTTTTCTTTTTTGTTTTAACTTCACTTACTTCAATTCTCACTTGTGCAGTTGGGGGATACACATAGGTTGGAAAGACTCCCCAGATACTGTTCTACCGATCTTTCAAGAGCTCATGCAAAGTGGAATTAGAGTCTGGATATATAGGTAAGTACCGGGAAAAAAAAGGAAAAACTCATGATAAAACTAATTCTGAAAATGTAGCAGTTCTGAAAGAATAACATTTTCTCAAGTTTGTAACTTGTAATTTCAGCGGAGACACAGATAATGTTTTGCCTGTAACGACAACTAGATATGCTATAAACAAAATGGGAACACCAGTGAAAACGCCATGGTACCCTTGGAACTTCCAAGGCGAGGTAATGAAGTGGTCATTGTTCTTCAACTCTACGTACAATCTCTTCCCAGAATATCATGTGTATATGAGTTAATTATTTCATATAATCCTTTTTCTTTCAAGGTTGGTGGTTATGCGGTAGAATACCAGAATTTGACATTTGTGACGGTAAGAGGAGCAGGACATTTTGTTTCAAGCTATCAACCTGGCCGTGCATTGACTATGTTCTCATCCTTCATCAATGGCACATGTGGAATAATTTTGTAACTGCTGGCCAATTATGTTCTTAGTTTGATATTAATCCTGTAACAAAAAGAATTATAAATTATCGAGTGTTGACGATGTGTGTTTGTCTTTAGTCATAGAAGTTATCACTTAAGTAGATGTCTGACGTTTAGATCAACACATAAAGAACAATGACATTGGTGTCACAAGATTAATACTGGTGCAACTAAGGTTTTCATAAGGCATCCGGCATTGTTGAGTGTTGACGTCTAAATCAATGATACAAGGACAAGAATATAGCTATCATGGAATCAATGTATACTGTTTTAAGTACAAGAAAATCGGCCAAACGACATTCTCAACATTTTCTAACTCTAATAAATACTAGCAAGGAAAACTGGTCGTACAGTTAACTCTTAACATTATCAGTTAGTATTCATTTTTATTGCATGGCAAGAAATAAAATGAAGGTTAGCTTAATTTTGAGTCTTTCTGTACTTCTATGCTTCGTTAGTGTTCAACAATGTCACGGAGGGGAAGGAGATGCTCTTTTGAAATTCCTCGAGGCACGACAGACGAAACAATTACCCATGACTAATGTTAATGAAAGGGTTAATTCAGAATTAGGATGGATAATACCTCAGAAAGGGTCCAAGAAAGATGATAAAATCTCAGTATTACCAGGGCAACCAAGTGGTGTGAATTTCGATCAGTATTCAGGGTATGTTACTGTTGATGCTAAAGCTGGCAGAGCTTTTTTCTATTACTTTACAGAATCAACACAAGACCCTTCTAACAAGCCTCTTGTCTTATGGTTGAATGGAGGTATATATATACACACACAAATTAACTTATATACACACTGACAGTACATTTTAACATGTTATAGCAGGTATTATTATTCAGGTTACTGATCTCACCTTTTTTCTTTGAGTTCTTAATTACACAAGTCTAAACGTGACAGGTCCGGGATGTTCATCATTTGAAAATGGAGGAATGGCCGAATTGGGACCATTTCGGGTAAACAACGACGGGAATACCTTATGGCTCAATGAATTTGCTTGGAATACCGGTAAGTGCCTATGTCATATATACTTATAAGAAAAATGTCACGATTTTGGAAAAAAATTAGAGATTATAAACAATGACATCTACATAATTTTTCAATGCAGTGGCGAATGTCCTCTTCTTACAATCCCCTGCTGGTGTTGGATTTTCTTACTCTAATCGATCATCAGATTATGTAACTGGAGATAAAAGAACTTCTGAAGATAGTTACAATTTCCTAATTAATTGGATGGAAAGGTTTCCTGAATATAAAAACAGGGATTTCTATATTGCTGGAGAGAGTTATGCTGGACATTATGTGCCTCAACTAGCCCAACTTATCCTTTCCCATAAGAAATTGTCATTAACTTGCAAGGAATTGCAGTAAGTTCTGTTTTCCAGTAAAATTATTAATTGATTCATATATAATTCCACCTTATATTTTCTCTAAAATTTGATTTGTATTTTAGATATGGTTTATTTTTTCAGACAGGAAATGCGTATATTGACATCGAAACACAAAATAGTGGTTCATATGACTATTATTGGTCCCACGCTATAGTATCAGATGAAGTACATGAAGGAATTGTCTTAAACTGCAATTTTTCTGCAGAGAGCTTATCAGACACTTGTTTAAAATACAAAAAACAAGCAGATTTTTCTCGAGGTGACTTTTACTATTATGACATATATGCTCCATTGTGTGGCTCCCCGTAAAAAACTTCTCTCCTTGTAAGTTCTCAACCCCTCATTCCAATTAGTATGCACAGTAAAAATTTATCCGCACCTGATGTTTACACCATGTTTTCATATACACCTTTTTCAATAATTCATAGTTAAATGGAGTAATACTCATTCTCACATTATTAATTTATGACTTAACCATGGTAAACTAGTTTGGTTTGGTGTAAACATTGAGTGTGGATAAGTTTTTACTAACTTTGATTTTTTATGACAACATGTAGTATTTATTATCTTGTATAAAAATATTTACATCCTTTTTTTTTTTTTTGGGGAACTAGATTTCTGGATACGACCCATGCACAAGCGAATATGTAGATTCTTACTTAAACACTGCTGAAGTGCAAGAAGCACTCCATGTCAGAGGAACACCCCGAGAATGGGTTTCTTGCAAGTAATATTTTCATTTTAAGCACTTTAGTAATTTGATTAGATTTCAATTATAATAATTAATATTGTTACTGTAATTGATTCATTTTGGTTCATAAGCCAACTCTTTTTTTTCTTTTTTTGGTTTCAGTTCATCCATACATGCAAGTTGGCAAGATTCACCTGACACAGTTTTACCAATTTATCAAGAGCTTATGCAAAGTGGAATTAGAGTTTGGATTTATAGGTAAGTTCTATATATATAAGAGATAATTGATCAAAAAATTAATGTTAGACCAGTGTACAATCTCAATTTGAAACAAAAGTAAAGAATGCTTTCCAACCCGGACATATATTGACATACTTAACATTATTTTGGATTTGATAATTTATTCAAATACTTTAACAAGTCTAAATAATTCTTGAACTGCTATAAATTTTTTGCTGCAGTGGAGATACAGATTACATAGTATCTGTGACAACAAGTAGATACGCCATAGATAAAATAAAAACACCGGTCAAAACTTCATGGTACCCCTGGTATTTCCAAGGCGAGGTAATTAACAACGTTTCGATTTTTGTTCCAAACTATTTTTCTACATCGTACCATAATATGTTACTGAAATTGTAAAATCTTTTGTTTGATTTTTTCTTCCTGCAGGTTGGTGGTTACGCGGTTGAATATGAAAACTTGACATTTGTGACAGTAAGGGGATCAGGGAATTTTGTACCAGGATATCAACCAGGTCGTGCTCTGACCATGTTCTCTTCCTTCATCAATGGCACGCTTCCTCCTCAATATCTCAAATAAACAAAACACTGATATATTGTTTACTGTCGAATAAATAAAGAGCAAGTTTTATTTGCAATAACAAATGTAGAACATATTATACTACTTAATATTGTTCCTTTGATTGTAGCGTTGAACTACAAGCCTTGCCTTTTTTCTTGTTGTATTTCCAAACTCATCAAGTTTATTCCTGAGTACCCACCTGGTCCCTATGATAGTTCGATCTGCATGTCGAGGAACAATGTGCCATACCTTGTTTCTTTCAAATTGATGCAGCTCATCTTGCATTGCTGTGATCCAGTCTGCATCTTTCAACGCTTCTTTGATATTTTTGGGCTCTATTTGGGAAAGAAAGGCTGAAAAGGCAAGTGAGTTTCTTGCTTTTAATCTGGTTTGAACTCCTGAGTCAAGAGGGGTGATTATGTTGTCAAGAGGATGTGAGCTTTTGTGCTTCCAATTTGATACCTGAATCTCATTGGTAGAGGACCCAGGTATGTCTGACTGAGGTTCTCGGGCGCTTCTTACTTCCGCAAGTGGAGTATCTTGGACTGCATCAACAACTCTATTTTCATCTTCAGTTACTGTGATCATGGGACCAGGTTCCTCTCTAATAGATAGAGGTGTACTTGCATCATCTTCACTCGATTCCTTTACATGACTCGTCATGTCTGCTTGTTGACCAACGGAAAGCATGGGAGAAAAAAAGGAAGAATTTAGAATCTAAAAATCAAAAGAGATTTTTTTTCCCCAACGACAAAGGAACTTACGTTTGACATGTCAATAACTTCTCCTGGAATAGATAAGGGTTCTCCATCTTGATCAATATGTCTGTCCTTTTCACAGGATAGGTGAGATTCATCAAAGATCACATGTATACTTTTCTCAACATATTGAGTCCTTTTGTTGTATACTTTGTAAGCTTTGTTTTGAAATGAGTATCCCAGAAAGATTCCTTCATCACTTTTGGCATCGAATTTTCTAAGAGCTTCCTTTCCATTGTTGAGAACAAAGCCCTTGCCATGTCTTCAAGAGTTCTATTCTTCCTCTCCACAACACCATTTTGTTGAGGTGTTCTTGGAGTTGAGAAATTCTGAGTGATACCATTTTCAGAATAGAACTCATCAAATTTGGCATTATCAAACTCTGTCCCATGATCAGACCTGATGCAGACTACCTTATTACCCATCTTCACTTGGATCTTTTTGACAAAAGTTCAAAAGTTTCATCCTTGGTTCTGAGAAACAAGGTCCAGGTGAATCTGGAGTAGTCATCAACTATCACAAAGATGTATTTCTTTTCTCCTCTGCTTAGCACTCTCATATGTCCACATAGATCCATGTGAAGTAGATCAAATGTCCTTGAGGTACAGACTTCCTTTTTGGGCTTGAATGAGGATCTGACTTGCTTGCCTTTTACACATGCATCACACGCTTTGTGATCCTTGAAGCTTGACTTGGGCAGACCACGAACCAGGTCCTTCCCGACCAATTTGTTCAGCAACGGAAGCTTGCATGACCCAGCCTCCTATGCCATAATTCAGCATCATCATCAACAACACTTAGACAGCTGAGATCACCATATTGCAGAGACTCAAAATCAGCAATCTAAATATTTTTGTATCTTCTTGCTACTAGCACCACCTCACCGGTCACTAGGTTTGTGACTGTGCAAATTTTTGACACAAATTCCACCTTGTTTCCCTCATCATAAATTTGGGAAACACTTAGCAAGATGTACTTCAACCCTTTCACGTTGTACACATTTTCGATTGAGTTTGAGAGAGACTTCCCAATCCTTCCAACTCCCAGAATGTATCATTTCTTGCCATTTCCATAGGATACACTCCCTCTTTGCAGGTTCTTAAGTGAAAGGAAATCATTTGTACTTCCAGTCATATGCTTTGAGCAGCCACTATCCATGTACCATTGTAGGCTGCTTTCTTTTACTGTTCCCTGCACATGAAAATTAGGAGTTAGACTTAGGAATCCAAACGAGTTTGGGTCCCTTATAATGAGGAAAGGGGTGAATGAGGGATCTTCTGGTCCAAGCAGGCATTATGCGTTTTTTATATGAGGGGTCGGGTTCTCTACCAGTAGTTACTTTTTCAGCAAAAACTTTATTTTTCTGTTGTGACTGAAATTTGGTTATACAGTTTTCTTTAAAGTGCCCAGTGTTATCGGAGTGAGTGCAAAGCCAATTGTCAGGTACAGTAACGTACTTGCTATGAGGGTTGTAGGGAATCTTTTTCCTTTGGAACCCAATCCCCTGCCTGCTTCCCCCCGTTGTTGGTGTACACGACAGTGATAGCATCAGAGGACCAGGTCACTTGAGTGATTTTTCAAGATCACTTTTCACTCTACCTAGTTCTTCCTGAAGTTGTTTGTTTTTCTCAAGCTCGACACACAGACTAGACTTTACTAAATTTAACTCACTTTTAAGCTTAATGCGTGGCTCACTTGCAACTTCCTTTCCCTTTTGAGAATTTTCAGTCCTACTCTCCATTTTAAGTTCCCCAATTATTTTCTTCAAGTCCAGTACCACCACTAATAGGTCATCTCTCTCATGCTCAATGTTAGCAACTCTCTTAGCTAAGACTTCTTCTTCCTTTCTTACAGACTTAATTGTCTCTTTTAGGTCTACCACAACGACATTAGATCAACTCTTTCATGTTCTATATTTGTAATTTTTTCATCTAAGGTATCCTTCTCTTTCTTCAGGTTCTCAATTGTTTCCTTTAAATCAACTACAACTATTACTAGGTCATCTCTGATCTGTTCTGCTTCTCCTAACTCCACAGGTAAAGCATCTTTATCATTTATAAGACCGTGATAAGCATCAATTAACACATTGCCAATGACATGAGTTTTTAGGAGAATAAGATTTCAGATTTCTCTGAACATCCAGAAAATTTACCTCGTCATCGTCGTCATTTTCATTATCATCAGATTGAGACATCAAGGCAAAGATTGATTCATACTCAGTTGATTCACTTTCCACTTCCATCATTGAACTATCACCATGATCATTTTCTTATTCTTATTGAGGAGTCTCCCCATGCAGCAAAAGCTTGCTTTACAACATTGTCAGCGGCATTCTTTCTCTTGAAGCGTTTATTAGGAACCGGGTTCCTCTTGGCTACTTTGTCAAAGTTGTTTTGTACTGATCTTGCTTTAGGAGAGGGCAATCCTTGATGAAGTGTCCTGGCTTGCCACATTTATGACAGAGGTCATAATATTTTGGCTTGCTAGAACTTCCCCTTTTTGGAATGCCTCCATTCGTGCGAACCATCTTCTGGAATCTTCTTGTCAAGTAAGCCATATCACCATCCTCATTACTTGAATCATTGTTGTCTGTCTTGAGGACCAGGTTCTTCTTCCTTTTGGGCTTTCTTCTTTCATTGTCCTTCTTCTTCTTCTTCATTTCATATGTTTTCAGATTGCCGACAAGCTCATCAATGGTTAGCTCCTGCAAGTCCTTCTCTCTGTAATGGCGTTCACTTTGCTTTCCTAAGAACTGGGCAACACACTAAGGATTTTTCTGACAAGCTTGTTTCTTGGAATAATTTCACCAAGAGAGTGAAGCTCATTAATGATAGAGGTGAACCGAGTATGCATATCTTGGATGGATTCATCATCTTTCATCCTGAAGAGATCGTATTCAGCTGTGAGCATGTAGATCTTGGATTGATTAACTTGTGTTATTCCTTCGTGAGCTGTCTGAAGAGCCTCCCAGATTTCTTTTGCTGATTGACATGCCGATATCCTATTATACTCATCAGGATCAATGCCACAAACAAGAATTTTCTTTGCACAAAAATTCTTTTCTATGGCCTTTCGATCAGCGTCATTGAATTCCTTCCTCGTCTTGGGAATGGCTACAGCTGGGTCACCAAGATTCTTGGTAGGAACAAAGGATCCATCATAGATAACTTCCCATAGCTCTGAATCTTCATCCATGATGAAGTCATGCATCCTAGTCTTCCACCATCCATAATATTGGCCGCTGAACCTTGGTGGCCTGTAAGTAGACTGGCCTTCTTCGAAGTTTGGCGAGCAGCCATGAGGATCCTTTCTAAGTGTTAACCTGATAGAAAGAACATGCTCTGATACCAATTGATAGAATATAAGGGTCCACCAAACTCTATAGAGAACCAGGTTCTCTATCAGTTTCAAAAAAAACACGCACACTGCAGTAAGTAAATGACAAGAGAAATTTTACGTGGAAAATTTCCAACTTAACGAGATTAAAAATCACGACCTACCCTTGTAGGATTTCAATTTAACTACTGAGCAACTTTCAGATTACAACCGATGTAACCTAGGAACTAACCTCTTAATCCCTCACTAACTTGTAACACTCTATTATAAGCCACTTTGTAATAACTCTATTACAAAGACTTTACAACTCGACTAACTCTAGCCAAGACACAAACACAAGGGTTTATGATTTACAAAGGGTTTCCTATGTAATGCTTCTAAACTAGCTAAGTAGGAATTACAATTGAAGAACTATTACAAAGTTATAACTCAACTAAGAACATACAATAACTTGATATGGGGAACTGGTCTGTAGCAGTGTTGTTCTTTGTTCTTTGTTCTTGATGCCCTTGAGAATTGTCTTCTTGATGATCAATGACCGTGAGAGTGCTTGAGTAAATTCTCTAAGTGTTCAAGTCATTTGTTTTACCTTCCTTGATGTTAATAATACATTTGTGACATCACTTGGAATGATGTAAGCAAGGTAGGTAAAAGACACTCCCCAAAAAGTTGACTGATGCACTGTTTCTACACTGTAGCGTGTGCAGGCAGCAACTTTACAGCTGGGGCAGTTGACTTGTGCAGTTTTCTCGAGAAACGGTAGCTATCTGTTCCCTCTGACTCTGAAGAGTTGAACTATATCGCAGGCTGGAACCTTTTGATCTTAAGATCTTGAGAATGTGTAACAGGTTCTGATGTTTTATACTTCAATACCACACAAGAGGGAGGGGGGGGTGATTTGTGTGGTACCCAATTTTTGCTTAACTTGATTATAGAAGGACCTGGTTCTTCTATGTGTTCTAACTACTACTATTGCGGAATAATAAATACAGAAAACAAAGAACACATAGATTTTTACGTGGAAAACACCTGCCTCAAAAGGTGAAAAAACCACGACCTACCTTCCAGTAGTATTTTCCCAAACTCTCCACTAAAATTACTAAGCCAAAAACTACATTTACAAAAACTTTTTTGTAAACCTAGGATTAACTCTAATCCCGTTGTGGCACAAAACCTCAACTGTTGCGACAACTTCAAGTTAACTCTAACTTGAAAACTCTAAGTACCTAATACAATTGCTTCTAGATAAGCTGAAAGGTAGAATGTAAAATCACCTACTACAATTGAACTAGAATAAAAGATAGACACTTGGATCTGGTTCAAGTAGCTTGAGGTTTGCACGCTTGAATCACACACGAATTGCTTGCAAAATTGCCTCGCTATTTTGCTCTCAATTCACGTTTAACTTCTGCTTGTGTGTGTTTCCTGTAAAAGAGAACAACACTGACGTTTAAGGAGTTAGCAATTAGAGATTGACTAGGATACTGATGCTACTTACTCTTTCATGGTGGAAGAGTTCTAGTTGATCTCATACTCTAACTCTATCCTTTTACTAAACCGTGTTCTCTTTGAGTAAGGAGTCTTTCTCCTTATCCAATATGCAACCTTTTCGATCATGATCAGGAGATATCACTTCTGATAAGTTAGGTTTATCTTCTTCACATGCATCTCACATGTTTGAGTTGATCATAACTGTGCTTCACAAGATGGACCTGGTCCATGTCTGAGTTCCTTTGTCAGTCTTCAAAACTTCACCTTTACTTGGGCCAACAAATTCCCCCTTTTTGATGATGACAAACTCTGTGCTTTTCACTCACTTAGGCCCTGTCAGAACTCAGCTTACTCATCAATACAAAGTTAGAAAAATTTACTTATCATCAAGGACCAAGTTCATTAGGTTATAAACATCACTTATTCAGAATATATAAAGCATAATATCTCTTCCCCCTTTTGGCATCATCGAAAATTTGCATAAACAAAGTGTGATTCCCAGAATATTAACAATGACTCACGGCCACTGGGGCAACTGCAAGTGCAATCATGGATTAATCATCAGTAATCAAGCAAACACATTCAAACTATCAAGGAAATATTAACAATCAACAAGAGAAAAAATAGTAGATTTCATTGATAGGAGATATGTTGCTACCAAAATCCACAAAAAGAAAGCAAAATTATTCAAAACATGAGCAAAAGAAAGAGAAATCCCTAATCTAGGTCACTGGTGGTACTAGACAGGTTCAGGAAATGAAGGCTAGAAGTCCTAAGGCTTGTGAGAGCTAGAGGGTTGGTTTTGGGCTTGGAGAAGGTCCAACATATTTTGAAGAATGCTATCATTCTTCTTCTTTTCCTTGGTGAGCTCAGTTCTGAGAGCATCCCTCTCAAATTCAACCTCTACTAAGTGAGCCTTCAGCCTAGCTATCTCAGCATCTTTGGCCCCACTTTCCTGAACTAGAACACTAACTTTACTATTGATAGGTGTCTTCTTGGATGAACCAGGTTCATTGGGAATGGCATTGACTGGATAGTCACAAGCAATCAAAGTATTAATGCCAAAATGGTCCTTGCTTGTGGCCATTTCCCACTTCTTCAGAGGCACCTTGCAACGATCCAGAACAGTAGTTAGAATAAATCCATAAGGGGTGGCATGGGCCTTGGAGCCATTGATAACCCTGTCCAGTAGCTTAATGATGAATGCAGGCTAGTTGATTTGCCTTCCACTTTCGAGACACTCCATCAGAACTAAGTCCATACAGTTAGCAATGTGCCTTTTTTCCTGCCTGGGCAGTAGGCACTTGTTGACAAATTCAAATAGGACTTTGTGGCAAGGCTTCATCTCACTCTTGTGCACAAACTTGGCCTCATTCACTTCTTCAACATCACAGAATTTCCTAGTGATTTCAAGGGCAGGAGGAAGGGAATCCAGACTTGGCCATCTTTGCGTAGTATAGTCATCATATCCCTCAGCAGGGATGTCAAAAATCTCACCCAGCTTCTCTGCATCGAAGGTCACTTGAACCCCTTTCACTTGGCTGGTAACTCTGCCATCCTTGACCTCTACATTGGCCATGAATTCAATGATTTCATTCCTAGCTAGCCTTCCATCCATCTGAAGGACCATGTCCTTTCAGCCCTGAACAGCTAGTGCATCAACCAATCGAACCATTCCTGGTTCCACCAAGTCTTTCAGCAATCTACCCTTCAAAATTTTTCTTTCGCCAAACTTGGCCAGCTTGTCTTGTTCACAATCAGAGTCACTCTCTTCTTCACCACTCCATTCTTCATCTTCACCAATTCTAACTTGTTTGTTTTTCACTGCAGACCTTGTCCTCTTGGACAATAAAGGTTCAGCAGCCTTAGACCCTGATGAAGACTTCTTGGAAGAAGTCCTTGTCTTTTTAGGCTTGGGGGTCTGAACCTCCACAGTTGTATGTTCCTCCTGATGGACCTGTTCCATCTCCTCAACATCAACAGCCTCAGAAGGCTCTGCAACCTTAGCTTTTCCTTTATCCATTCTCTTCTTCTTGCTTTCAGCCAAAGCCTTTTGTAATTTACTCTCACTCTGTTTCACCATACTTCTTGTGGCTCTCCCCTTTGCCAAGAGAATTTCAGCAGTTGTTGGGGAATTAGCTTTTCTTTTCTTGGTATTCTTTGTAGTGCTGGGAACCTTAGGTGTTGGTGTTCTCCTTTTCTTGGGATTATAACTGGCACCTACTTTCTTCAGAAGGTTTGCTAGGGTTTCTTCAATAGATGAACCGGGTTCATCCACATGAGAACTTAAATTTACCAAACCCTCAACAGCCTCCCCTGATCCACTTCCCCCTGTTTTCTTGCCACTTTCTCCTACAATTTCATCCTCAGTCCCACAAATTGCTGGTCTAACCATCTTAGAGGTGGGTGACGAATCAACCACTTCTATCCCTGTTCCCCTCACATCACAGCTTGCACCCTCACTCTCCTCTTTTTCAATTTTATTTTTACCTCCTCTCCTTCTCAACTCAGGCATTTCCACATTTCTAACAGAGCTAACAAGAACAAACCTATTTTCTACACTTTCAACCAAAACAGAACGTACCTCAAAAGGGGAAGTCTGAATCTTCTCAGAGTCAGAAGACCCAGTTCCTTCCCTCTCACTTGCAGACTTGAAGGAATCGTCTGAGTGTTCAGATTCTTGGGCTTGGCTAGCCTTCAATTGTGCGTTCAATCTTTTTGACAGTGCACCTGTAGTCATATTTTTACGAGCAATCATTTTAACACATCTCCTCCTAGGATGAGGGGTTGTACTGGGTTGAGGAGGTGTGGAGGAATCAGAAGAGGTAGGTTGTGGAGGAGTGTCTGGGTTATCTTGAGGGTTCGACATTGTGACTGATTTCGTGAGAGAATTTGTGAGTTTGGCTTTTGGAAGAGAGAACACTTGAGAGTGAAAGAAATTTTGACGGTTTTGGAATAATGAGGGTGGCAGAAGGTGATGATGGGTTTTTAAATAGAGAGGCCTAATTAATGACTAACGACAGCTTTTTGGAGTCAATTAGAAGTCCAATCAACCTGAAATTTCAGGTTGAAAAAGCGGGTAGGCTTCCCTAGATTCTAGGCGTTTTATGTGGTGAGGATTCTATTAGAGACGGAACTGGTTCAAAAAATAAACGGACAGGATTTTCTGATGTTTTGTACATAGGTAGGACTCTGCTCATGAGTTAAATATTTATATTTCTAATTGTGTAGAGTATAGAAAACATACCTCGTTATTCAGATGAACCAGGTTCTTCATTTAGAATCCTCTTGATCATGCCTCTATTTTCCAAAGTAGAGAAATTTGTTAGAGATTAGTGAGTCATGTCAACACATGTCACAGGAGTATACTATTTACAGTATGAAACCGAGTAAAAATTAATCTAGATATTTACACAAGTTTTTTTTTCATTGTGCATTCTGAGCTGGTCCCATTAGGTGATCTTAATCATCCCTAATTCTAACCTGTTCCTTTCAAAGCTTTCTCTACTTAGTGCTTTAGTAAAGATGTCAGCAATCTGTTTATCGGTAGCACAAAATTCTATAGTAATCAATCCTTTCTCATAGTTTTCCCTTAAGAAGTGATGTCTAACATCTATGTGCTTAGTCCTCTTATGATGAACTGGGTTCTTAGTCATGCTAATAGCACTAGTGTTATCATAAAAAATAGGGATGCAACCAACTTCAATGCCAAAATTCATCAGCTGCTGTTTGATCCACAACAGTTGAGCACAACAAGAGGCAGCAGCAACATACTCAGCCTCAGCAGTGGATAGGGCCACTGAATTCTGCTTTTTAGTGGCCCATGATACCAGACATGAACCAAGAAAATGAGTCATACCTGTGGTGCTTTTCCTATCCACAAGGAAACCTGCATAGTCAGCATCAGCATATCCTACTAGATTAAAATTATTACCTTTAGGGTACCAAAGGCAAAGGTCAGTAGTGCCTTTCAAATATCTCAGTATCCTCTTGACAACAGTCAAGTGGGATTCCTTATGATTTGCTTGAAAATGAGCACAAAGACCTACACTGAAGACAATGTCAAGTCTGCTAGCTGTAACATACAAAAGTGAACCAATCATACCCATATACAACTTCTGATCAACTGATGAACCAGGTTCATCCATGTCTAATTTAGTAGCTGTTGCAATGGGTGTGTCGATTTCCTTTGATTCATCCATTTTAAACTTCTTAATCAGCTCTTTTGCATATTTCTACTGATGGATCATGGTTCCATTTGGGTTTTGTTTGATCTGTAAGCCTAAGAAAAAGTTAAGCTCACCCATCATACTCATTTCAAATCCGCTCCCCATTAATTTAGCAAATTCCTTACTAAGTTTTTCAGTGGTTTCCCCAAAAATTATTTCATCAACATATATTTGTACTACGAGTAGATCCTTACCTTTTTCCCTCAAGAATAGAGTGCTGTCAAACTTACCTCTTTTGTATCCATGTTCAAGCAGGAATTTGGATAGGCGTTCATACCATGCTCTAGGAGCCTGCTTGAGTCCATATAGGGCCTTGTCCAGTTTGTATACATGATATGGACACTCCTTACTTTCAAACCCTAGAGGTTGTTTGACAAAGACTTCTTCCTTTAAGTAGCCATTTAGGAAGGCACTCTTCACATCCATTTGGTGAAGGGTAAATTCCATGTGTGATGCAAAGGTTATGAGAAGTCTTATTGCCTTCAGTCTTGCAACTGGAGCAAAGGTCTCATCATAGTCTAAGCCCTCCTCTTGCCTATAACCTTGGACCAACAACCTTGCCTTGTTCCTTGTAACCGTTCCATCTTCATCAAGTTTGTTTTTGAAGACCCATTTAGTGCCAATTACTAATCTGTCCTTGGGTTTTATGACCAGATGCCACACTTGACTTCTTTCAACTGATTGAGTTCATCTTGCATTACATTTACCCAGTCTGCATCCTGCAAAGCCTCAACAATATTTTTAGGTTCAATAAGAGATAAGAATACATCAAAAGCACACAGATTCTTTAATTGAGATCTAGTTTTAACTCCAGAAGTTGGGTCAGTAAGGATGTTCTCAATGGGATGAGAATTTTGATACTTGTAAGGTTTCACAACCAGCTGATTTCTGTTTGGAGTTTCTCCCATGTTCTGTTGCTGAGGAACAGGCTCATGGACAGGTTCCATTTGGGAATTAGATTCACTTCTTCTTTGTTCAGTTCTCCCTGTCAGGTTTCCCTGGATGGAAGAACCTGTTCCATCACCTGTTCCTTCTGTCGGTGCAGCTTCACTTAATTCTTTTACCAGCCCAATAGCTTTATCTTCATGTTCCTATCTCTCAGAAAGAATGTTAGTTTCATCAAAACAGCATGTACACTTTCTTCTACACACATAGTTCTTTTGTTGTACACTTTATAAGGTTTGCTATGTGAAGAATATCCCAAGAATACTCCCTCATCACTTCTGGGATCAAACTTACCTAGGGAGTCCTTTCTATTATTGTGCACAAAGCACTTGCATCCAAATGCCCTAAGATGGGATATATTTGGTTTTCTACCTTTAAGTAACTCATAGGGAGTCTTCTCTACAAGAGGTCTAGTCATGCACCTATTAATGATGTAACATCCAGTATTTACAGCCTCTGCCCAGAAGCTATGGGGCAGTTTACTAGAAAGAAGCATAGTCCTAGCCATATCTTCAAGTGTCCTATTCTTTCTTTCAACTACTCCATTTTGTTGTGGAGTCCTAGGGACAGAAAAATTGTGATCTATGCCATGTTCATCACAAGATTCAGCAAACTTAGCATTTTCAAATTCAGTTCCATGATAAGACCTAATTGATGCAAGTTGATTACCTAGTTGTTTCTGAGTTTTTCTAACAAAGGCAGTAAACATGTCGAATGCTTCATCCTTAGATGTTATAAATAATGTCCAAGTAAACCTAGCGTAATCATCAACAAGCACCATCACATATTTCTTACCACCTCTGCTCAATGTTCTAATTGGACCACAGAGATCCATATGAACCAGTTCCATCAACCTGGTCATGCTTAACACTTTCTTGCTTTTAAAAGAGGATCTTACCTGCTTCCCCCTTGCACTAGCCTCACAAACTTTGTCTTCCTTAAACTTGATGTTAGGCAGCCCTATCACCAGGCCCTTGAAGACTAATTTGTTGAGTTGACTTAGACTTGCATGTCCAAGTCTTTTGTGCCAAAGGAGGTGATCATTGTCCAGCACACTTAAGCAAGTGAGTTCATTTTCTGAAAGAGTGGACAGATCTACAATGTATATATTGTTTACTCTTTTTTCTTGTAAAACAATCTTGTCAGTGGTAACGTTTATCACAAAACATTTGGTAGAGGTGGATGCTACCAAGTTACCTCTGTCACACAATTGTGATACACTGATTAGGCTATATTTCAAGCCATCTATCAAGTAGACATTCTCAATGGAATGTGAGTCTGTCTTACCTACTTTTCCAACCCCAATGATCTCACCTTTCTTACCATTTCCAAAGGAGACATTACCTGTCACACATGCTTTTTACCCGAGGGGGGTACAAGGGAGTTTTTCAAATTTCAGTGACATAAATCGAAATGGGATTATTTTTAATTTTAGAGTCGCCACTTGGAATAATTATTGGTGTCCCAAGTCACCGGTTTATTTTAGATCCCAAATCGAGGAAATGTTGACTCTATTCTTGGTCCGCGAACACAGAAGACCGGGTAAGGAATTCTGTTAACCTAGGAGAAGGTGTTAAGCACTCCCAAGTTCCGTGGTTTTAGCACGGTCGCTCAACTATTAATAATTGGCCTAATTATCTAATTAACTATATGTTTTAAACCTATTGTACATTTTTATCTTCTAACCACTTTTAATTATTTAAGAAATTATTTCTGGAACAAGTCACGATGTCGTGCACTCGTTTGTTTTGTATACATTGCAAATCGCATCACGGGAACCGTACCCACGATCTACAACGTGTTTAATTATTATTATTAGTTATGGTCGGGTCACATGAAATGCACACCCGAATTGAGATTTACGTATCGTGACCATGCTACGGGAACCGTACCCATAGTCACAATAATTATTTAGTCGCGCCTAAAGCAACTAGGGCATTTGAATTATTTTCCTAATATTTGAGATTGTTGTGAAGGCCATAACTTTTAGATAGTGCACTGCTGTCGTAAAATTGAGGACTGAACAAGTATCATCTTAACAGACACTCTCTAACCCAATTTATGTGGAATGATATACACTGACATTCTAGTTAATTTGACACAATAGTGTAATTAACAGTATCTTATACACCTTTCACTTCTTCCAAGACCAAGAGTACAAATTCAAACAAAGAATATGGTTTTTCACAAACACACTCGTTGTTCAAATATTATACTTGAATATATTTTTTATTTTTATTTTTTCACATTATAATGCACAAGTCTCATTAGCTTATTTAGTTACATGCCATATAAACTTTTCAGATGAGACAATAAAGTCAAGGTCTAATCATATCAAATATGATTTAAAAAAAAGGAACGACATAACAGACATATAGACACAGACGAGATTTCCCAATACATGGAATGAAACCAAAGTTTTGCCAAAAAAATAATTTTTTACAAAGCTAAAGAAACTTATTAGGTCATCAATGAGAACAGGAAATTGAACTTCCGAACATCAGGGCTATAAAAAGAATATTTTCTTTGCTTTTAATCATGAGCATAAATGCCGAGTATAGATACAAAAACTAGTACTAAATTTCCCTATAATCAGAGAATAAACGTACAACCAAAGTCATACCTGCACTAAATTTTGGCTTCCTCATCAACATTTCAGAAATCAGCAGATACAGTAGCAAAAATCAACAGCGCT